ATAGCAAATTATATAATGTTTTATTTAGAGAATTATTTGTTCCGTTAGTGTTAATGATATCAACACCTAATTTAACATTAATTTTATCGCATTTAATTGTTGTTAAAAATAGTAATGTAAAACAGACCTTATTATATAACTTCAAATCATCAATTATAGACGCCTGGAGTTCTATCAATTGGTATGTACTTATCTACAAATCATTGTATAATTCGATGTTTAGTTTTAAATAATTTACTGTATTTTGTTTGCCAGACATAATGTAATGTTAGAAATTGTAATAATGTATTAATATTTACTTTTATACAACTAGTGCTTCTATTCTACAGGAATTTTTAAATTAAATTATTGTTAATAAAATGACTGGTAATGTAATCTCATTACTAATAAATAAATAATTAGTCTTGGTGGTTATAATGGGCTCAAATACATTACTTTTATATAATTAAGCAATTTTGGTCAATTTTGTAAAAGTTCTCAAAAATCTCAAACTTTTTACAATAAATGTTATTGGAAACATTAGTTTAATTAAAAATTATTTTATTAAAGTTTAAAATAAAAAATAACTTAAAACTTCTGTAAAGAAATTAAATAATTTCTAACTTTAATTAATTGATGCATTAAAAAGATTTAGAAATTACATTACATAATTTATTTTAAATTTACCATAATTAAATGATTAGCTCTATATACAGAATAGCTCTGTACCTTTTGTTTGTTTAAAAGGTTTGATACTGAATGCTGGACCATAATATTGGTAGTATTATTGTGGGGACTCATATCATTGCATATTCCTGGCCGGCCTTATAGCGGGCCAATTACTTCAAATGGATTTATACCTAAATATTGGTTCGTATTATTATTCCCATAATTTTAATATTATATTGTAAATATTTTTGGAAATATAATTTTGTATTTCTATTTCAAACATATTTAAATATTGAAGGCATACAGGCTTTAGGTTTTATATTATATCAATGATAATAACGGTTCCAATCTTATGGAAATACTCAGTCCTTCATCTATATTACAAATTACCAAATTTTATTGGAATTTTATGTGTATTTGGGATTTGTTTTTGTGCTCTTCTCTATATTAAAGGTAAACATTTAGAAAAATTGAAATTTAATTAATTGCTATTGTATTTTAAATTATAGGTTTATTGTTGCCTTCAAAGGGTTTATATAATAGGACTAAAAATCCTATTTTTGACTATTATTGGGGAATTGAATTGTATCCACACATTACACCTATAATTAGTTTAAAAGTGTGGATAATTTGCAGATTTGGCTTAATATTATGGCAATATATTGTATTATTGTGTTGGAAAGCAAATTATGAGACATTGCCCGATGGTTCAATCAATTACTCTCTAACTGCCACTACTTTATTACAAACAATATATTTAATGAAGTTTTACTACTGGGAAGACGGATATATGAATGTAAAAATTATTCTAAAGTATAACCTTATTCATATTACAGGAATTATAATTTTATATTTATTAGATTATATAAGATTAAGCCACGGTTCATCCCTTCCCTCATTAACTTGCAGTCCTTTTTTGTAAATTATAATTTATAATGTATTTAATTATAGATTCTGTAATTAAATCTAATTTATAGTAATCTAATCTAATCTAAAATATTTCATGCAATTTAAGTATAAATTAAATTTTTCTTCAATTAGACAATTGACACATCTGTAGATCGTTTTGGGTATTATGTGTGTTGGGGTTGTATAGCATTTGTACCGGGATTTTACCCGATAACGAGTGTCTATTTGGTCGATAACACACCATATAATGAGTTTGGCATCAAATCATTAATTGCAGTCCTAACTGTTGGTCTATTAGTGATTTGCTTAAACTATTGGGCAGATCAGCAAAAATTGCATTTCAGAGCCACTAATGGAAAGTGTGTTATTTGGGGAAAACCGGCAAAACTTATTCGGTATGCAATCGATTGGTGTATAAAATATTATTTAATAAAATACTTTAAAATTATAATCATTCACATTATTGAACATTTAGTGCCGAATATATCGATGATTTTGGCAAAAGAAAGCGAAGTATTCTTTTGACGTCAGGGTTTTGGGGAATAACTCGACACATGAACTATACATTTGAATTATTGTCTACATTCTTATGGTGTTTGCCAGCACTATATGCCAGTCCTGTACCCTATCTCTATCTCATATTCCTAACCGTACTATTAATTCATCGAAGTGTAAGGGATGACAATAAATGTGCCCTAAAATATGGACAATATTGGCAACAATACAAACATCAAGTCAAATATCAAATGATTCCTTATGTTTATTAAACAATTATAATTTCAATGTATTATTGAATATGAAGTTTAAAAATTAATTAAATATAATATCAAAAATAAAGTTTTGATTGATTTATTTTTAGACTTTTAGACTTATTTCAAGTTATTATTACTACTGTATCTTTAAAAAAATAATTGTATCACATGACTATTCAATAATTGACTAATAATACAATTGGCTGCATGTTATTACTAAATAGTTATGTAATAAAAAATAGTATAAAGTTAAATTTCTAAAATAATTGAATAAATAATCGACAGATAATTACAGTCCAAATGACATTAAAGCTAATGATAAACCCAAGAATCCAATCAGTTATAGGATATGATTTATAGATTGCTTTTACATCTTCTTCTCCACCCGTTCTTTGTCTGCGAATTCGGACCAAATTTTGAGGCGCTTTCTTCAGATCATATGCCCAACCAATCCATTCAAAAAACTCAATAAATGCCGAATAGATGTTAAAACTTTTAATACCAAACTCACTCGCAGAATAATCTATAATAATGTGTATTTTAAATATAATTAACAGCATTTTTATAATTTACTTTAACCTTAATGCAACCAAAAAAATTACAACTTTCAAAATTGCTTTGTTAATAAATAAGGAAACCGCGTTCCAGCAACTTTCCAGCAACTTTATATATATTATAGTGTAACTGGATGTTTATTAATATGTCTATTTGCTTATGAGTGTTGTATTTGTGGTGAAAATACACAATTGACTCATACTGCAATATATATGAAAAACATGACTGGTTTCCCTATTAATAAAATAGCATTGCCTGTATTAAAGCTTGATATCGCGCATTGACTCACAGAAAGAGAGTTTATTTTGAAACCAATTTTTTTGGTTGTATTTTTTTGGTTGCATTAAGGTAATTAAATAATATATTCAGCTAACTATTCTTAAAATAAAAAATGGATAGTATTTGTTGTAATATATAAGTTATATTATATAATATAACACTTTTTCCAAACAAATCATATCAGTTGTTATATTATTCATATGATATAAATCAAAGAAAAATAAGATTTTTATAATAAAAAATATTTTTGACACATTTTGAGCAAAATTTGATTCATATAAGAATCTGAAAATCTAAGATCACTAACTTGTAAGATATTTGTATGAATTGATTCACTACTTATGTTAGGCGTAAAACATAATAAGAATGTGATTTATTAATTAATAATATAATTGTTTATTTAAAATACCATAAGGAAATGCGTGATGAAAGTTATGATAAGCTCCGCCGAGAGTCAGATAATTAAGTGGTTTGTTGTGAGTGGATGTCGAAGACTTGTCGTATTCCTTATAGCCATATACGTGAGCAAAAGAGTTGCCTTTTAAGAAATTGCATTTAATTCAAATATACAAATAAATAAGATTATATAATTAATTACCACTTAATGCCAATTGCATAGTATATGCAAATCTGAATGCAAAACAAGTGTAAAAACTAATAACCAAACTTTCGCCAAATAAAATATAAGGAATTAGTGTTGGAATTAAACAATTGAAGAGTAAGAATAAAAGCCAATAGTATTCATGTTGTAATCTAATGATGGGATCATTCCATAAGTAGTCGACATTAAGTTTGTTACGCTTTTGGACGCATTCGGGATGTCTTTCAATGAGAAGCCAACCGATGTGTGCGAAGAAGAAGCCTCGACCCAAACTAACGGCGTCTGCATTTGTGCCCTCAAACTTGTGGTGCGTGTGATGATCGAGTGTCCAGTCTATCGCTGACTTCTGACCCGACAGAGTCTGCAATACTATTAGTATTAATCGCAACTTCCAATTGGCTTTAAAGCTACGGTGACTGAAGTAGCGGTGAGCACCTGTACAGCACATCAAATTGCGAATCATTTCAATCCAATACTCAAGTATTCATTATAATCATTTAAAATTATTAAAAAATATAAATCAGAGCATTATTTCAAATTTTAGGTTTTGTAAATAAGCTATAAAATAATATGTAAGTGAATAAATTTGGCAAAAAACTAATCAAATCTCATATGCGCACATGTAGTATTAATAATTAGATTGAATACAATTACCTGCGAGTACACCAATGCCGGCCAAGACACCTAACAATTGATTAATAATTATAATTATTATTAAAGATTTAAATTAAAAGTCACAAATTGAATATAATTTATATAAAATTTTAAAAATGTAACCACTTTTAAATATTAATCTAATATTTAAACACTTTTATAGTAGAAACAACAGTATTTACTTAGAATATAACAAACAATGATTGTTTGCCACTTGGCTTCAGAGACGAGAAGATATAATCCTTGAACAGCGCTGACATGTAATGAAATGATTGCCACAACAACTGACCACTTAATCTG